GGCGCCCATTTCATTCTGTTTGGGCAAGAAATATTGAGAGGGTTCATTTGCGCTATTCCCGTGCAGACGGGTATTTAATGTTGTAATATGGTTGTGGGTATTAAAAGGAAATTAATTTATTTGGTTATTTATCGTATTACACTGGTAAATCGGGAAATAATTATGTATTATATATTACGTATAAGGTTGGAATCTTTAAGTAGATTGTCAAAATATATGTCTTGTATTATACAAGATGATATGTTCCAGGTGTGGAGTGTATTGTTTTTAGATTTATTTATAATACAGACAAAACTATAGGGATATTGGTGCAAGAACATCAATCCTGATATCGCCTAGGGTCTTTCCTTGTTCGCCTACTACCTGTTACGACAACGACGGACCATCATGTCCTATTTGCCTATTGCGTAACGTCTTCGACTGCAAAATTTGCATCATAAGCTTTCTATTCACGATTCTCTGATATGGTGGCGCTCTCGATTGCAAAATGTTCCCATGATTTGATTATTTTTTTTCTTCCTATGTCTCTGTCTTACTTCTCTCGTGATTTGGCCATGCTATACTTACACTTCGAAGTATCATGCCCCATCACTATCCGTACATCGCCTCTACTATTACCAGTAATATCCACACCACCTTTGGTGGAATCGTAATCTCTAATATTCTAGACTACAGTCATAAACTACACCGAGATGCTAAATATGAAAACCAAATTATTCAGACCGTATTAAGTCTAGGTTGGCTCCATTTCTACATGGAAGCCTACGTTAAGTCTGATGTCCGAGTAACTGTAGAGTCGTAATCTCATCTTTTCATAAATAACAACTGAACTTGTACTCAATAGATCTACCGGGCTAGAGAGGACGTCCACACGAGGGATAATTCAATCCAGCATGACCGCTCATTGCAAGTGTCCCGGCATTTTAGCATAGAGAACAAGTTATACCAGTCACAACAGAAAATTTTTGTGGCCTTTTATGCTATCAAAATTGTTAGTACTCAAATTTATACGCGTTCTGAAACTTTCCCGCTTGATATCAAAAATGGTTGTTTTGGTTCGTACCAATAAGAAGAACTAATTCATTATCCTATATTTCATTGTAAAAATAACACTAGAACCATGTCAGAATCGTCTACTTATTTTGAGAAACAAAGGGATATGTTGATCCAAGAAATTGGAGTCTCAATCGAGTCAGTAGTCTACAATTTGGATATTTTAAATAGATCACTTAACGGGTCTATTTCAGTTGGAAAAGAATTTGACAACGTCGGGAGACTTTGGTCACACTTCTACGATGGGTTGAATCAATTACAGGAAAGAAAAAACGAAGAAGAGACGAACAAGAATGATCAAGACGACGCCAACGACGATGATAGTTCGTCAGATGAACATAAATCGTCGGACGAAGAAATAGATGAAGATCAAGAAAATTAGGGCATAAAGCGCTGCAGACAAGCTAAGGTAATGAATTCTTTTGTATTTTCGTTTTGACCGCCTGTTATAGGTAGTTTTTTTTAAAGACGTCTTACAAGTGACTTCTGTCATTTCCTCAACACAAGAATCAAGATAGTAAATATGGAATGCTATACGCTAGCTGTTTCTACAAGATGCCATGCGATTCTGTGATGGATATTCTGAATCGTTCGGGGTTTGAAGCTATACTTCAAATATGAAGTATTTCACGGATATGGCAATAGAGTATGCCCAAATGTTTACGGAAATCGTGCCGATAGAAAGGAAAGAATACCTAGTTCATAAAGAATTGGGGATGAAGTAACCCCTATATTCGCGGCAAAAAGCCTTACACCGGAAAGCCCACACTACAATATGGCCTTCCATGTTCCGGTATTTGCATATTTGGTAAACAGTACGCCTTCAGTTTGATTTGCTATTCCCCCATATTCAGGGTACATCACCAGATATAATAAATGACCTGTAAAATCTCTCAGATAATTTGTCCGAGATTGCAACCTATATAAGTTCTAAGACATACAAGAAATTAGAAATAGCCATAGATAAATAACTAATCGAAAAATTTATAGGCCAATTAAGCCAATTAGGTCAATTCAACGAGATGCCAATGAAAGCCATCGTTTATCATGGTAATAAGGACATTAGGTACACTGAATCACATCCATCACCGAATATTACCCATGAAACTGAGGTAAAGATTAAGGTCGACTTTTGCGGGATTTGTGGCTCGGACTTACATGAATATTTAGACGGACCCATTTTTTTTCAAGGCGAGAAAAGTGAAATTTCGAATATCAGCAAGGTGCAGTGTATGGGTCATGAGATTAGTGGGGAGGTGGTAGAGATTGGCACTGAAGTCAATGGTTTGAAAGTTGGAGAAAAAGTGGTCGTGGAAGCTAGCGGGACTTGTCTTGATAGATATAGATTTCCAGACGCACCCAATGCAAAGAAGCCAAATTGTTGTGCGTGCCATGACGACCATCGTAATGCATGCGACCACATTGGATTTGTTGGATTGGGGTTTATGGATGGAGGGTTTTCTGATTACTGCATTGTGGGGCAAGAACATGTTGTTCCATATCCAGAAGACCTAATTCCTGCTGATGTTGCAGCCATCACGGAGCCATTATCTGTAGCTTGGCACGCAGTGAGAACATCTAATTTTCAACCGGGACAACTGGCATTAGTCTTGGGTAGCGGACCTATTGGGTTGGCAGCTATCATTGCACTTAAGGGTCATAAAGCAGGGAAAATAGTTGTCAGCGAACCAGCATTAAGCAGGCGAGTGCTAGCTCAAGATTTCGGTGCTGAGATTATAGACCCAAAGGATTACTCATACGAGGAATGTATCAAAGCTTTGAAAGCGATGACAGTTGATGGGTTTGGGTTCCATCACAGTTATGATTGTTCTGGAATTGCCGCAACTTTTAATGCGTCGGTGCATTCATTAAGGACATTTGGCACTGCTACCAATATTGCTATCTGGCCACATAAGCCAATTGACTTCTATCCCATGGATGTGACTTTCAAAGAAAAGGTTATTACGGGATCGATGTGTACTACTCGACTCGATTTTGAACAAGTAATTCATGCCTATAAAAAAGGGTTAATTGATCCCAACGAAGTCAAAAGGTTCATTACTAGTAGGATCCATTTAGAAGATGGCATTGAGAAGGGCTTTATGGAATTGATTAATAACAAAGACAAGCATATCAAGATATTAATGACTCCGAACGAACAATTCAAAAGAACAAGCCTCACATAATATTCAGGTAAATTCTCTAATTTCACATTGTACGGCAAATTCTTGTACTTAAACATTCCTATATATTTATATGAACTCCAAGAAGTTAACGTATACTAATTAAATGATGATTATAGACTCATTCACCTTTGTTACAGTGAAATGTTCACATTTTCTTGTATTTAGCCAACGCGTTCAACCTCATTGGACTGACTTTGAAATTATCCCAAGTATAGGGGCTTCATATCCACATGTGCCTGGACGTAGTATAACACACATTTGGCATATATTCTCGTTAATAGATGCCGCTCATCGGAGCACAATTAATTAGTTCGAGATTGCAAAATCTAGGGGGCATTTCTGTCAAAAAGATAACGAATTAAAATCCTAAATAATTGTAAGGAACAAATTTGATAAATTGACAGAATATTATAACTATAACTGCAATTGAGTTCACCAAATAAACTTATAAGTGTTCAATGTCTATGAAAGCAATTGTTTACCACGGTAATAAAAATCTTGAGTACACGGAATCATACCCAGAACCCAATATTAACCACGAAAATGAAGTAAAAATTAAGATCGATTACTGTGGAATTTGTGGTACTGACTTAAAGGAATTTTTGGATGGACCGATTTTTTTTGAAGGTGAAACGAGTGAAATATCGAACCATCGTAAAGTTCAGTGTATGGGCCATGAAATAAGCGGTGAAATAACGGAAATAGGTTCAAATGTCAGCACATTGAAAGTTGGAGACAAGGTAGTCGTGGAGCCGAATGGAACATGTCTCGATAGGTATAGATTTCCAGAAACACCAAACTTCGACAAACCTAAGTGTTGTGCCTGCCATGATGGTTATAGTAATGTTTGCGACTACATTGGTTTGATCGGTTTGGGTTTTACTGATGGTGGGTTTTCGGACTATTGTGTTGTTGGGAAAGACCATGTTGTTCCATATCCAGATGATTTTATACCATCGGACGTTGCTGCATTAACACAGCCAATTGCAGTTGCATGGCATGCTGTCAGGACATCCAAACTTAAGCCAGGTCAACTGGCTTTGGTTTTGGGCAGTGGTCCTATTGGTCTAGCTATAATCATTGCTCTCAAGGGACATCAGGCAGGTAAGATTGTTGTGAGTGAACCTGCATTGGATCGAAGGTTATTAGCTGAAAAATTAGGTGTTGAAACAATTAATCCTAAAGAATATACGGCAGAGGAGAATGTTAATGCTTTGAAAGCAATGACAGATGATGGATTTGGGTTTCATCATAGTTATGATTGTTCGGGGCTACCTGTTACGTTCAATGCGTCAGTTCATTCGTTACGGACATTTGGCACTGCTACAAATGTTGCCATCTGGCCACATAAGCCAATTGACTTCTATCCCATGGATGTCACATACAAAGAAAAAACGGTTACTGGTTCTATGTGTACTACTATTCTTGATTTTGAACAAGTGATAGAAGCCTATAAAAAGGGACTAATTGATCCTCGCGAGGTTGAAACTTTTATTACAAGTAAAGTCCATTTAGAAGATGGTATTGAGAAAGGATTTAAAGAGCTTCTTTATAACAAAGACGATCATATTAAAATTCTATTATCACCAAAGGAGAGGTACAAGAATGCTGCTTGACTTTTCTTCATGTATTTGAAATTCAACTGTAATTACGTGCGGTTTAATTCTGTGTTTATTAGTTTTATCGATGGAGCTTAATATGTGTTTAATATGTTTAATTATGATAAGGTATTTAATTAATTTAAGTATGCAATCAGACTAGCTATTTTTTCAAGTAATCATGTAGTGAGTCGACTTTTAGCTTTTTAGAAAGCCCAACCCGGGGAGGTAATCTGGCTCTATTAGTTTTTGAGCAGATATCAGCCAAACTTGTTTTCCGTTTCCTTTCTGTATTCGACGGATATGACGGTTGCAATACTGGCGCCGGGATACAATGCTTTTCTTGATCAGCTGTTTCCCGGATATCTCTAGATTTCACATTTGCAAATTCATGAGTATCTTCAGATCTTATATCGGAAGATATATCATGTAGGACTTTCTCATTAATCTTATCACAAATATTGCTTAAAGGTAAATGTGTGCCACGTATATTATTGGTAATGTGTGGATCCTGATATGCAGAAGAAGTGGAAACCTGAGGCTGTGATACAGATGGGTCTTCTTCTAGTGCTTCATCTAAACTCTCCATATCACCTTCATTGGATGGTTCGACTGATCCATGCTCTATATCGAATATCTCAGAATCATCCTTTACAAAATCTTCGGCTTGAATATTGACATTAGTGAGTTGGGGTTCTGAATCAATTACCTCTGTCAAGGTGTCATCATAGGCGATCTTTTCATGGTCAGCAAATATGCTAGTATCGAACGTGCAATTTTGGTCAAACTGATTGACAGTGGAACTTCTCGAGTATTTTCTAGATTGAGAAGACAGATCAGTAGAAAGCAATTCTGGCTCTTCTTCGCTATCAGCAACAGACTCTTCGTCAATTTCAGCGGTCCCCGCCGACTTGGTCAATCTTGTAAAGCCGTCGTTAGGTGTCAAGCCCATAACAGGTAAAGTCGTAGATCTCTTAATGGGAATATCTTCATTCTCTAGCGTAACCGTTGATATCTGACTCTGAAGCTCGTCCATTTCGTATCCATTCGATGTTGGAGGTACCAGCCCCGCCTGCACGTTTGGATAATCATGGTCGCTTTGCAACAAGTTTATACCATCTTCTATTGGAACCGTTTTCTGAGATTGTGATGACAATAGCACGCCCATGTCTAATAAATCGATGGTTTTTGCGCTTTCAGGTCTTGATGTATTTAAATCCTTCTGTTGTAGTGGGCTTCTAGCCAACTTCGAACTAGCTTTATTTCGGGAAATTAGATCAAGAAAGTCGTCTCCCGCTTTGGTATTATCCATTCCATAAACATGTATGGTTTTGGGTCTCTTTTTGACTCCAGTAGTACTTTCGGCGCTAAATAAATTCATCATCAGGCCATTAACTGTATTGTTTTTACTAGACCTTGGTCTATGAAGGGATGGGAAACCGATTGAATTGGGGTTCAAATCCCACATTTCATCGTCAAATTTGCCCATCAACGCAATATACACCTAATATATGTTTATCTAGTTTATTGTCTGTTTATATTTGAGTCTAATAAAAATAACCGCGCTCCATATTATAGATCAATAGTTTTATACCTCTTTTCTTTATTGATTCAATTATTCATTCGTTGTCTTCATAAGAAGACAAGGCTTTCTATGCTAATACATCGATAGTCTTGGGTTGTGAAAATAAACTGGTTCCCACCATTTCGTATATTAACATCATAATTTTAGAGATTTTGAATTTTTTCAGTGAATAATGTTAAAGATTAATGAAAGTTGCAGTATAGAACTTGATATTGCATGTATCCAGGCACTTCCGAATCAGCTCATTACAGGGCAAATGCCAGAGGAATGATAAATATTGGTTTATGTCTTTGTCGACATCTACGGTCAACATCCCTACACCTCAACATCCTGTTCCATTCAAACGGCATCTTATGCAACAAGTTAATTTGGAGAGAAAAAGAGACATGATTACAGCTGTTGAGAGCAAATCGATCTTCAAGTTAATTGAGGTGTGTCATAGACCTCGGGGGACTATCTAAGAATGCAGGGAATATTCATTGATGGATAGTTGCATACAAGAGAGAACTTTATTGGTTCTTGACATTTATTATGTCTCAAGGCAACCCTGTCACCATTCCGGCAATGGTAGTTACTCTGAGGGTTCTATTGTGTGGATTTCTGCATATCCGGCTCTCAATGATAATTAGTAGGTTGCATAATATCGCTGTGTGAAAGGACGTCAAATTATTCGCAAGATAATCGAGTGTTTTTTATAGTCATTTTTGGTTTAAATGATTTCATTTTTCAGTAAAAAGGATGGCCCAATGATGTATTCATTGGTATATCTAGAAATCATTTATGTTGAATTCATAAACTACATTCTTTTTGGTCTTTCAATAGGAGGGGAGTGCTTTTGCAATGCTGAGACTTTACAATACTTGAAAAATTTGATTGCATTCATAAATATAACAATTATTCCAGTGGTAGAATCGAGCATCGAATATCCTAGTGGATGTTTAGGCTATCCCTCGAGGATTGATCCAATGTGTTTGAATAAATGCATGTTAAATTATCCACCTAGGGATTTGTATGGTTGTTTCTCTGCTATGACGGATTATTTATAAGAGAGATTCAGAGCTCGAAACTTGTGGCCTAATGTATGGATTATGATGAATAGTTTATTTCTTTTACTGCGGCCTAAAGCATGCGTCGGTGATGGCAGAAGAGAGATAGGATGATTTTGGATCGCTTTTTTCTCGGTATGTATTCATTTTGCTATTTACAAAACCACTGATATGATTACTAACGAAACAAAAATATGTTATTCAATATGTCAAATTAAGATAAAGAAAAGAATAGTAGGTAATTACACAATAGTACATTTCATACAGCCGCCCTTGGCTTCTTCCTTCACTTCAGGAGCAGCTTGCTTAGCTCTTTGAGCGACTTCCTTGGCCTTTTCAGTAGGCTCTTCAGCAGATTTTTCTTTCTCAGTAGGCTCTTCTCCAGACTTAGAGGCTGGTTCACTAGTAGTAGTAGTGCCAGTGGCAGCCTTAGCACCGACAACCTTGGAGGCGAGATTAGCGAAAGAAGCACCTTGAGCATGACAGATCTTCAACTCCAATTCCGATGGTTGTCTAGAACCGTCAGATCCAGCGAATATACCAGAACCCCAAGCAGATGCACCGTGGACTTCGTCCAAGTTGGACATTTCCGCAAATGTGTTAGAGTATCCTAAAGGAATATATGGCATACCATGGTGAACCAAGTACGACATGGCATTCTTGATAGTAGATTCTTGTCCACCACCTGCACCACCAGAAGACACAAACATAGCTGCTGGCTTACCGGCTAAGGCACCTTGAGCCCATAAACCACCAGTGGTGCCCCAGAAATCAGCCCATTGTGCTGGGATGGTACCGTATCTGGTAGGAATACCAAATACAAAGGCATCGTAGTCAACCAAAGTTTCAGTGGAAGCAACTGGGTAGTCCAATTTCTCTGGTGCGTGCAACATACCCAACACTTCTTCGCTCAACGTCTCTTTAACTTGCAAAATATCGGCCTGAACACCTGCGTCTGCTGATTCAATCCCTTCCTTGATCTTCTTAGCCATAACGGCAACATGTCCGTATGTTGAATAGTAAATGATAGCAACCTTCATTTTTGCTTCTATGCTTCTATTGCTGGTCTATTATTATTAACGCAAAATCAAAAGGTGTAAGATGAAAAATATTTCAATGAGCGATTGTATTCTTTATAAGGCAAAAAGTCAGTAACGAATGTTCCCAAAAAGTCGAATATGTGTATAGATATCGTATGTCAGATTAACAACAGCAGAGCCTCTTAATTAATAAATATTATTAAATTTTTCGAAGATTAGTATCTCCTTATAAATATTGACTAAAATTTTGGTTAGTAATTTTGTGCGGCGAGCTTACTAAAATTTACATAATAGAATTATATAAATACACCTCAACATCAATTGGTTTCTGAAATAAAACATTATTAGGTTAATTCTCAAATTAGCTTAATATTAAACCAAATAGAAACATAATATACAACAAAATGGCTCAAAAGGTTGCAATTATCATTTATTCCATGTACCACCACATCGCCACCATGGCCGAAGAAGTCAAGAGGGGTATTGAAGCTGCTGGTGGATCTGCCGACATCTATCAAGTTCCAGAAACCTTGAGCGAAGAAGTTTTGGCTAAGTTACATGCTCCAGCCAAGCCAAACTACCCAATTGCTACCAACGAAACTTTAACTAGTTACAATGCTTTCATGTTTGGTATTCCAACTAGATACGGTAACTACCCAGCTCAATTCAAGGCATTCTGGGATGCTACTGGTAGTTTATGGGCTCAAGGAGCCTTAGCCGGTAAGATTGCTGGTATTTTTGTTTCCACTGGTACCCCAGGTGGTGGACAAGAAGCTACCGCTATGAACGCTTTATCTTGTTTGACTCACCACGGTATTATTTACGTTCCATTAGGTTACGCCAACTGTTTCGCCCAACTCGCCAACTTGGAAGAAGTTCACGGTTCTTCTCCATGGGGTGCTGGTACTTTTGCCGGTGCTGACGGTTCTAGACAACCAACCAAGTTAGAATTAGAAATTGCCCACATCCAAGGTAAAACTTTCTACCAAACTGCTTCTAAGTTCTAAGTAGATTATAGTAATGATTTATAGTATTCAATGAATTGATTGTTTTCATAAACAGATGGTTGTAGTTTGACTGAAATACGCACTGGCGGATAATTCCTAGTATTTATTCTACAAAATAAGAAATTGTGACTTCACAATGACAGATAGTAAGACTCCCCAGTATAGACATGTTCGTGGGACCGATACTAACAATTAGACGACACTGGTGTTAAAAGGAGACTAAGATTGCCGGTTTTCACTTTGAGCAGCTCGTATAATCAATTAGCAGCTATTTGCAACGACCCTGTAAATAATAACTCTACTTGTAACGATGAGTCCGTATTTGACATACAAGAAGAGACCGGAACCACTACAGTGTTATCAAGCTCGTGTATTACAAAGGATGATGAATTTAAGAGTACAGTGGCTGTAGAAAATATATTTCTGCAACAGGACCGAGAGCTGGATACACTAGAAATAATCAAGCGAGAGGAGGATCAGGAATTGACAAAATATACGAATGGGAGGTATAAATGTGTGAAATGTGATAAAGAAATGGAGAAGCTTTCGTTTTTGGCAATCCATCACCGAAGTCATACCAGCAAAATACACTTTACATGTCCACAATGTCAATGCATAGTTCACACGTTAAACGACTTATCCAACCACTGCCAGAAACATTCCATGACGCAAATCTCATGTCCCAAATGTGAAGAACGTTTTGAAGACTCGAGGCTTTTTAAGATGCATCTCGAAATACACATAATTGAGATGGAAGGGAACGATAGCGAGAAACGAGTGGATGACGAAGAGTTGCCTGATATTGATAGAGGCCTGTTATACGACGAAATTCACTATCTTAACGAGATAGTTCTGGTGCGTTCAATGGGTATATCTCGGTCTAGCTATAGAGAATCGTTCCCATGTAAGTACTGTCCGATGGTATGTACAAGTAAAGTTCGTCTGTCTATACATTTGCTTGCTCATAAAGAGTATGCTGCTCTAACCACCGATAAATTAGAAGTATCACCTATCTAGTTACAAACTTCAAATATGATTATGCTGTTATATAAACTAATATCTAGTTTTTTTCTATACATATGTATATTTGTATTAGTGTAGCTTAGTCTATGGTGAAAGACGAACCATACTCCATTTGGCGTCATCAACAGATTCTCTCCTAAAGCATATTCTGTCATGCAATCTACTCATTCCACCCTGCCAAAACTCAATTTCTAATGGAACTATCCTAACCCCACCCCAGTACTCCGGACATGGGATATCTTCATCCTTTACATCCCTGAATTTGGCTTCAAATTCTTTATCAACCCTATCTAACTCTGCCCTGTCCTTTAAAATCTGCGATTGAGGAGATGCCCATGCACCAATCTTCGATCCTCGAGGTCTGGTATTGAAATATCTCACTGATGTTTCCCTAGTCACCTTCTCCATAATCCCTTCAACTCTGACTTGTCTTTGGATACTAGGCCAGAAAAACGTCAACGCCGCATGCTTATTAGTTTCAAAATCTTGCGACTTCTTCGACTTATCCCAATTCGAATAGATAATAAATCCATGGGTATCTAATTCTTTGAATAATACTGTTCTTGCCGATACTCTACCGGATGGTAATCTTGCTGTGGAGAAGGTTACTGATTCCGGAAGGAAGGAACCATCGGTATTCGATTTCCTAGCATCATCAAACCATTCATGAAACTGTTCAATTGGATTGGATTGGAGCTCATCCTCTTTCAAATGTCCCTTATCATATTGATACGTTTCCGGAGCAAAAATAATTGGGGTTTCTGTTCTCTTCACACCTGACATTTTTCTATAACACAATCTAATTAAGGGGTTTCTACTTTGTGTTGATCTGATACCTGTTACGAGAGATGATAAACTTAACATGTATTATAAGGACCCAGATAATATTAGAATATATGACTATCAATGCTTAAGTATCGTCATGCCTATTATCTGATCTAGTAAAATATTACACAAAACTACCATGACTAATAAATGGGTGCTAAATCTCTTCATCACTACTTTCATCCAAGGCAAAACCGAAGGAAAAGCCTTGGGGAGCTATTTCTTTCGAGTCTTGCTCATTGGTTTTGTTTTCGACTAATGTTTGCCATATTTTGCTCTTATTGACTTGCTTAACATCGGATTTCTCCAATTTTGCAAGCTTACTCAAAGCTGTATCTAACTCCTGTTTTTTGCCGTTTAGGATCAATAGTTGTTTAAAAAGTTCGAATAGAGGCATTGGTGGAAGCTTGGATGATATTATTTCACCACAGTCTTCTACCTGTAAATCGTTGTCTAAATCCAAAGACTCGTATTGCTGCTTGTAGTGCTTTAAAGTACGTACGTCGTCGTTTTCGGCCGGTAATGTTTCCAATAGTTGATCTAGAGTCATTTTAAGCTGATTTGGACGGAATCCACTAATCTGGTTCTTCTTATTTTTGAAGAAATTTAAGGTATTACTCAATTTAGGTAATGGAACGAAATTTTGCGTCAAGGCTATGGAATCGTCCAAATTAATAACTGCATGCCACCAGCCCGAAGGTACATGCATGCATTCGCCGGGAAATGTGATTCCTATCAAGCAGTTATCGATTTTGACGGCGTCGTTGAAAAAACCAGATAAAACCCATTCGGCTATCCCAACAGGAGAAGTGACCTCACTTTCTTCGTTATCTGTTCCTACCCCTGGGGGAACAACGTCAGGAGGCAACATGATCCATAACTTTCTACCACAAATAGCTGTATTCCATGCACTTGTGTAGTTAGGGTCCTTATGGAAAGTTGATCCAGAACGCTTAGGTCCAATAATCAACCAGGCGTGGTCTGGACGACAATTGATCTCCTGGTTTTCGAATACGGTAAATAGATCATATTGAAAGATTTCTGGTACAGTGTACTCCTTTCTCAACGTCTTCATCGCAACACTACTACAATCAAATAAATATAATGGAGATTCATCCTTGTTGTTAGCAAGATACTTGGAGTACAATGATAATGGCCATTGTACTGCCTCTTGTCTGAAAACGACATCAGGGAATCTTTCCACCAAATCCTCCAAACTCCAATGTGGCCATCTGTCTTTGTTAGAGTTAGTTAGAATAAATGGCTTGTCATGAAAGTTTTCGTTAAAATCACTCATGCTCAATAAACTCTCTGATATTCGTAGGATTCTGCCATTAGGCAAACTTTTTAATTCAGTTTGTAAATCGTCATTCGTTTCATTAATCCGGTTGCAATATATCTCTTCTTCTTTTATAATCTTGTGGAAGAGCTTCTCGTAATCCACTTGTGAACACTGGTACGGCCTATATAACACATCCGAACATAGGATATTACCAGGAAGTTGCAAATTGGCTTGGTCCGTATCTTTAATATTAAGCAACGTGCTCCTCCATGACCCTTTCCAATCTGCAAACACATTATCTGTGTTAGTTCTGAAACCATCAGTAACTTGCTTAACGTATATTTTTTTCCACATCTCTTCGTCATACATATATGCATACATTAATCTTGATGTGTGGGACAAGTTCTTCATTGACTCTATATCGTCAATGAATGAAATTAAATACATAATTAATTCATCTGGGAACCAGCCAAATGCCCCCATTTGAGCATGTCTGGGCAAAAATTTTGTTGTATCATAGTCATCTCCAGAGGATAAGTAAGAGTTTCCTTCGGGCTTCACATTTAAAGGATGTCTACTACTAATGGTGAACAATGATATACTTCGTCCGGTAGTATTAGCCTTAGTAGCATGATTATCGTAATGAGATATAGTCATTTCGTAGTGGATATGTATACTAGAGACAATTCATACTATGTCTTGCATGGATGTGAAAATTTCCAGATGGATCAAATAAAAGGCCAATCTAAAAAATTACATTTTGATCTACAAGACACAGTTCAATGCCTTCTATCTTACACGAATATATCTATTACTCATATATATTAAATAGTAGTATATGTACAAGGTTTCATCCGACGAATGGCCCATGGAAGGGATGCGGGTGGTGCTATTACTTCTTAGGATTCTTCAACTGCTCAGCATTGAACATAAGTGGCTCTTCTCTGACAGGAATCCAATCCTTCTTCTTCAATCTTCTTTCGTACTCGCTTTCATGCTTACCAGGATACACGATCTTCTCATCTATTGGATCCAAGTTGGCTTGTGGTGCTTCCACCGGGTCTTGTGTCGCCTTCTTCTTCATCTTGAGGAATGACTTGATCTCTGCAAAACAGTGCATACACATGAAATGCGATCTCTTTACATGTCCACATGCCGGGCATCTCCCCAAGTTATCCAAATGCTTGATTTGCTTGTCCCCTGGAGCATACAACTTTTGTCTGGTTCTACGGTACGATGGCTTCTTCTTTGGAACCGCCCTCAAAATCATACCATTATCTATCATGAATGGTGATTCTCCGTTATTATTTTCAATTTGTTCTTTCAATTCTTGTAATCTTCTATCGTTTTGTATGCTTCCCTGTGTCTGGAATGGATTTGGAATTCTAATAGAAATAGCTGGTAAACGGGGCAAAATTCCCATCCATCCTCCATTTAAGGATGGTGCAGCGCCTAACCTGAATGCTAATGACATTTTCCCTGCGTAGTCGTAAGTAATATAGTCACTGTACCTCTAACTACTACTTTGAATCGATCTTTATGTCCTCTGTGGACTGAAAAGTGAAAAATTCAGCACTGCACAACTCTCCAAAATTGTGCACGTTTAGACACTTTGTGTCGGTTACAAAAATGGTCGTGTTTTGCCCACATTTCCATCTACGCGTTCACAAATGAAGCACTTAAGATCAAATAAACAAGGTGGTCAATATAGAAAACAAATATCGTTACCGTTGGAGACAGTTATTGATTTAAAGCTAATAAAACAGGATGTCACAAACACTTAATGAGCCACACTTTGTGCAACCCCAAAAATATGTCGGTTTTGATACAATTACTACACAGATTGAGAATAGATTGTTGAAGAGAGGATTCCAGTTCAACATCATGGCGGTTGGTAGATCAGGATTGGGTAAGAGCACATTGGTTAATACATTATTTTCGTCGAAGTTGACCGAAACCAGTGGACGCAGACATGCGGCAGAACCGGTTGAAAAGACCACTGAAATCCTGGTTAGTTCTCACGTTTTAGTGGAAAACAACGTCAGGTTGAACATCAACGTTATTGACACGCCAGGATTCGGGGACCAGATAAACAACGAGAGGTGTTGGGAACCGTTGGTCAAGTACATTAAGGAACAGCATTCGCAGTATTTGAGAAAGGAATTAACTGCCCAAAGAGAAAGGTACATCAATGACACCAGAGTGCACTGTATATTATACTTTATCCAGCCAAACGGCAGAAAATTGAAGCAGTTGGATGTGCAGGTGTTGAAGAAGTTGACGGAGATTGCCAACGTTGTTCCAGTGATTGCCAAGTCCGACAGTTTGACATTAGAGGAAAGAAGCGAATTCAAGAGGGTGTTACAAAACGAGTTCATCAAGTACAACTTCAACATATACCCATACGATAACGAGGACTTATACGACGACGAGAGACAATTGAACGAGGACATTAAATCGTTGATTCCGTTTGCCATTGCTGGTTCCGAGAAGGAAGTCCAGGTCAACGGGGAGCTCGTCAAGGGCAGAAAGACCAAATGGGGATTAATCAACGTTGAAGACGTATCTCAATGTGAGTTTGTATTCTTGAGAGACTTCTTGACCAGAACACACTTACAGGATTTGATCGAAACTACGTCGTTGTTACACTACGAAACCTTTAGATCCAAACAATTAATTGCCTTGAAGGAAAACGCCAATAACCCAAATAGACAATCTAACCCTTTGTCGATGCACCAGCCAAACCAGAGTCAACCACAACATCCACAGCAACAACAACAACAGCCACCTGCTCAACAACAAACCCAAAGTATGCTTCCAAATGACAATGCATACCCCCGTCAATAAGTAGAGAAAAGGTATTTAGATTAGAATAGTGAATATTTATAAATGAATTTACAACTAGTGAACTACCCGTACCAGTCAGTGAACTGTCGTAGTTCTATATGTATTGATTGCAATTACTATCATGCAAAAAATATGTAAGTGAAAAGTAAACAAATGTGGCTGGCCATGTGATTTCTAAATATAAAAGTATTGATAAGAGTGAAATAGATAAAACCCCCTAGAATTTCACATAAAATATAGCAATTTTTATACATTAATATAAAACAGAATGGCGTTTGCATACATTACTCTATTAGTGAATGAAGTTTATTTGCCAGGAGCGTTAACCGTGGCAAAAGTTTTGAAGAATGACACCAAAACGAGCCATCCATTAGTTATATTGTTAGATACAAGCCAAATTAGTGAAAAGTCGACGAAATTAATTGAAGATGTCTACGATGAAATTATTCCTATTGATGGTGGTTTAGTGACATCTCCAATAGACAAATTGGTTTCCCAATTGAATAGACTTGAATTAGCAGTCACATTCACCAAGATCTTGCTTTGGAAGCAAATTCAATATACCAAATTGGTATATCTCGATTGTGATACCTTACCGATGCAAGGAATAGACGATTTATTTGAAATAGAAATTAACCCGAACCAAGTTGCTGCTTCTCCCGATAGTGGATGGCCCGATATTTTTAATTCTGGGGTGATGGTTTTGAAACCAAGCATGATCGTTTACAATAAGTTGAGCGAATTTGTCGAGGCCGAAGATAACACGTTTGACGGGGCTGACCAGGGACTATTTAACGAGTTCTTCAATATTGCTTCTAAAGGATTGGATTGGGTTAGATTACCATTTCTCTACAATGTGACCTTTTCGCAGTCATACCAGTACTTGCCAGCATTTGATCGCTTTTTTAAGGATATCAGGATTTTGCATTTTATTGGTCTGCAAAAACCATGGATGTTTGGCGGATATGACAAGTTCAAGGAGTACTGGTGGAGTGCATTTAATAAGCATTATTCGCCTGATGTAGTCCAATATCTCTTACAAACTACTGGGTCAGGTTCCAAGAAGGGTGAGGCAAGTGCGTTGAATATTATCCCTTCCCCCAACGTCTGGGACATAGAATTTGTCGATAACAAAGTACAAGAATCTCCCGTCGATACCCCGTCAATTTTCCCTTGGGAGGAGAGAAAGGAGAATGCACCACCCACAAGAGTATTCACCTCGTTCTCGAGTCACCATTCATCAATTAGGCCGACAGAAAAGGTGTCTAGGGGAAAAAAGTTCAACAAGGTGCCCCTGAGCTATAAGGATGATATCGAGACTTCAACCAGTGCCACTAGGTCAAGCACAGGGCAACCTATGTCTAGAAAATACGAATTTACCGAAAGTTTCGATCCAGAAGAATCATTCGACAAGGTATCCAAGATACCCATCAATTTGTTGAAGAAGAAACTAGAGCAGGAGAAGCAGAATAACCCATAGGTTCCATGGTGAATGTCATGAGAATACTATCTTATCACGAGCTATTACCGAATAAACGAGTCGACAATAGACTAAAGAGACAACTGATATAAATATTTGATAGTGGATATAGTAGAGTATAATTTCTATACAAGATGATCGTAAGACAAATAATAATGCCGTGAACATAATGCGTATGTCAGAGTCGCACCTTCGACCTATTCATATATTTTGCCGTTCAGCTCATCCCACCGTGCCACTATATCGCCTCGCGCACACTTGGTGTCCGTATTTTGATGCGGTGGCTTCAGAACTTCTACGAGCAATACAATAGCTGAAATTGGGAATACGAAATTTTTTCAGAAAATAGAATCATTGACGCAATATTTTCTCTTAATAATAACCATCATAAAATATTTTTTGGGTAGCAAATAATCAGTCTAAGGCAGGAATGAGACATTTAAAATACCACTTTAGTAACAAGATGAGGCCGACAAGGAAATTTAATTGTGTCCTGCATATAAATGGGACATAAATCCATGGAAAAAGGGGTTGGTCTATTCATAGCATTCAATTGTAAAGACAGACTAAGGTATAGAAATGACAGTTGGATTACATTGCCTTGCGGATGTTTGTATGATCCCAGTAAGTAGAAGATAAATACGAAGAGCAATCACGACAATTCCGGATTAGATCATTAGCATACTAACATGACATGATAGATCGGGACCAGCAGTGCTTCTGTATCGAATGAAGTTACGACGATTACTAAAATGGCCAGGGAATCACACCTTAACTGTACGTTACACAGTGCTGGCACGACAATTGCTGGACCTTGGAGTGAGGTGATGGAGTTAATTGGGCAGATGCATGAAACTTTGCATAAGAATGGGGTTGTTAGAATCCAGAGTGACATAAGAGTTGGGTCTAGAGTGGATAAGAAGCAATCACCCCAGGATAAGATCGACGTAGTTGAGTCTAAGTTGAAACATTTGAATGGGGAATGATTGTCAAGTCGTAAAAAATAATACAGTACACCACATGTGGCATACTGTACGGATTCCCAAAAAAGACGTGGACTTAAGTAGATTGAATATACAAGCTGTTAGTGTTACCGATACCGAGGAAATGTAAAATCTTAGGCGAAACGAGCGCCCAGTGTCAAGAATTAAACTATAAAAACTCCAAAATCCATAAATAATATATAATACATGCTAAAAGAATCAATTGATGACCTAGTAGTAGTTACCGGCGTAATTGTCGATCGACTCGGGGGACGATTTAGAATTGTAGCTATGATACAGGTGTAGTGCTGGTGCCGGAGGGTTTGACAGCGTGCTGGAGGAATTCGAAGTGTTGGATGCATTGGTAGCAGAAGACGGCTGCGAGAAAAAGGGCTGGGCGTACTGACGTTCATTATCGATGTACAGCTGCAGTTCGTTCGCCCTTTCGGTGACCTTTTTTTCCTTGAAGCATTCGTTCACAGTTTCCTCGCTCACACCAAACGATACTGGGTCTGCCCAAAACAACATTCTCACCGTCTCACGACACTCTCTGTCAGAAAACGGCTTGCCCGTGGCCTTGGTCAATTCTGCCGCAATAAACTTCCACTTTTCAACTTCAGCTTCGTCCAAGAGCTTGCGCAAGAGCGACTTGTCTTCATTTCCCCATGACGAAGAATTATTATTCCCCTGCTGTCCCACAATGACCTGGTAACGATTTCTGGCCGCAAGATAGCTGCCCACACCCGACATCTCGGCGATCTCCACCCACGTCTTGCCTTTACGCTTCAACTCGACAATCAAGTCATCCTGTTTCTTCGAGAATTTTGATTTACGTCTCGGCCGCTTTTGGTTGAGCTGCAAGTTGATCTCGGGACGAATCATAGCCTGCGACATCGGTGGCACTGGTAACAGCTGCTGGAGTCTCTCAATGAATCCTTCGTATACCACCGGCTGTTCGGAGGGTCCTCTTGTGCGAGCAGCCCCGTAGAAGCTGGCTGCAACCTGTCCCTGATCCTGGCCCTGGTGTATCAACAAATAGCTATTCATGGGCCTCGGTTCGTACATCTGCTGTTGTGTTGGATACAGAATCGTCTGATTCATATAAGGTGTTCCATGTGCACCCTGTCCACCCATCAGGCCCCCTAATTGACCTCCTAACTGCCCTCCAGGCTGGCCAGTGGTCTGGCCACCACCCTGCACATACGGCAGCTGCACCACCATCGACGATCCATAGTATCGTGGCTGCTCAAACTCCTTGTATTGACTTTTACCTCCTTGTTGTTGGACCAAAACCTGTTGTCCCAAAACCTGCTGGCCCATACCCTGCTGGCCCATCATCTGCTGTCCCATGACATGTTGTCCCAAAACCTGCTGCCCCAACGTCTGACCATCGTGAGTACTTACATTATATCCCTTTGGTAGTCCAAACGACATTGGTTCAACCTTAAACTGAAAATTGGAGTCGTTGGCTAGCTGGTTGTTCATCATTTGAAGCGTGAAAATCGAAAATCTAAATTTTTCACAATACCTTCGGTTCGCATTGGGGTACGTTTATTATATATATAGGCTTTGTGTTGATGTCGGTCACAAATATTTTTCTTTTACGACTCCCGTAATTTTTTGATTTACGAACGAGATGTACTCCCGCCTGTGGTCTCAGGATCTCTCGTGCATTGAGACTAACATGTATTCTATATCTGTCATGCATTAATAATAAAGGTATGGGGAAAGATGGCGGATGAGGGTAGTCTATGTAGTCAATGTAGTCAGTGTAGGTATACAGTCAATCTAGGTATGCAATTAATGTAGTTATTTGTAGTTAATACAGTTCATGTTTAGTGGTAATCGATATCCTCAGCGCGGGTGCGAGATGGAATGTGGCGGCGAGGAAGGCGGGAGAAGCGTGAATGATGATAGCGATATCTGCGGTGAGTGATGAATGCTCACGGAGAGCGTTAGCGACGCAGACAATGTCATTGGTCGGTTTGAGGGATACCGGGTGACGACGGTGGCTAGGCCTGGTTTTGCCTGGGCGGTTAGGGGCTATTTCGGGCGCACGCCCATAGTCGCGTGCGAAGGTCTAGCCTGCCGTATAGAAGGATATTCGCACTAACACAATAGTACGTTTGGGTGGGTGCGCTTCGAATGACAGGTCACCGTCACGATATCGGCGAGGGTGAGAGTCGGTGCGCCGTAACACACAAGTGGGGTGATGGGATTCGCATTTACGCTGGTATGGGTGGTCGGGTTTGGTTCGGTGTCGTGGCAACGGAGATGGCCACAGGTATATTGGCTTTTGAGGGCGGATGCACTGATGTGGTGTGAGGATGGGATGGTTGTCAGCGCCATGGCTTATTCCAAGGGTAGAGATTATTATGAGATACGTAGCAAAATAAAGATATTATAAGAGGAGTAGCAAAAATAGGCGTATTATGAGATATGAGAAGATCGTTATAAAATATGTGACGTAAGGTACGTGGCTAGTGCTTCGGAGTAAGTCTGATAGGTATGGCAATATTATGGCGATATTATTATGTGGGCCGGGCAATACGAATGTTATGGGCGGCTACGGGCTGTTTGGGGCATGGTGTAGTCGTTGGGAAACTTACAGAGAGAGTGAGGAAGAAAAATGGAGTTCGACCCTAATGAACGCGGAAAAGTGATTTTCGGGTCTGTTCGCACCATGATATTATGGCAATTCGACTGCACGGTAGATAGATCTTGTTCATGCCGTTGATTTGCTTGACTTCGTTGATCTGTTTGTTCTAGGTGACGACATTGGACTGCTTGTGTTTATCCCTCCTACAATCTAGCCCCATACGATGTCTAGATGATGAAAGATGAAGATACGTACTGCACATCGCTTTTCACGTGTCGCAACCACTCTGACGTTTCTCTAGTGGCAATCTTAACGTTTACTTGTTCCTTACCCAATTACTATTAGAATCAACAACAACATGTCAGATAACATGCAGATAGATTCACCCCCACAAGGGTCGATTGATGAAGGCTTGTACTCGAGACAGTTATACGTCTTGGGTAAGGAAGCCATGATCAAAATGCAAAATGCCAACGTATTAATAATCGGTTTGAGAGGATTGGGAATCGAAATCGCCAAAAACGTCGCTTTGGCCGGTGTCAAGTCCTTGAGCTTGTATGATCCTCATCCAGTGGAATTGAGCGATTTGTCTACGCAGTTTTTCTTATCGGAGTCCGATTTGGGCAAAACAAGAGCAGAGGCATCGTCTACAAAATTATCGGAATTGAACCAATACGTTCCTATTTCGATCGTCGACGACTTGTCGGAGTCCACATTGGCTCTGTTCAAGTGTATCGTTGCCACCGAGATCACATTGGAAGAACAGGTCAAGTTAAACAACTTCACTCACCCTAAAGAAATCGGTTTCATCAGTGCCGACATCAGGGGTTTATTTGGTCAAGTGTTCGTTGACTTTGGCAAAAACTTCAACGTTATAGACCAGACAGGTGAAGAGCCTCTCACCGGTATCGTGTCTGATATCGAGAAAGATGGTACTGTGACAATGTTAGATGACAACAGACACGGCTTACAAGATGGAGACTTTGTCAAGTTTTCTGAAATCCAAGGAATGGATAAGTTAAACGATGGTTCTCCACATAAGGTCGAAGTATTGGGTCCATATGCGTTCAAGATCAAAATGAGCGACAGCTATGGTACGTACATCAAGGGTGGGTTGTACCAACAAGTTAAAGTCCCTAAGTCTCTTAACTTCGAACCTTTAACTCAACAATTAAAATCTCCAGAGTATGTTATCTCTGATTTTGCAAAGTTTGATAGGCCTCCTCAATACCACTTAGGTTTCCAAGGTTTGCATGCGTTCCAAACCAGACACCAAGGAAAATTACCAAGACCATGCCATGAAGAAGATGCCAACGAATTATTAAAGTTGGTGTCTGAGATTGCAACCCAAAATCCAGACATCTTAGGCGAAGATTCTGTTAATGAAAAATTGATTAAAGAATTGTCTTATCAAGCAACTGGTGATTTACCAGGTATGGTTGCCATGTATGGTGGTTTAATTGCCCAAGAAGTTTTAAAATGTTGCTCTTCAAAATTCGGTCCTGTTAAGCAATGGTTGTACTTTGACTCTTTGGAATCCTTACCTCCTACTGAAAAATATCCAAGAAATGCAGAAACTTGTAAGCCATTAGGTACAAGATATGATTCACAAATTGCCGTCTTTGGTAAACCTTACCAAGAAACCATTTCGAATTTAAAAGTTTTCTTAGTGGGTTCTGGGGCTATTGGTTGTGAAATGTTGAAGAATTGGGCTATGATGGGTTTAGGTTCCGGTCCAAATGGTAAAGTTTTTATCACCGATATGGATTCAATCGAAAAATCCAATTTGAACAGACAGTTCCTTTTCAGACCAAAGGATGTTGGCAGAAATAAAGCAGACGTAGCTGCCACCGCTGTTCAGGCTATGAACCCTGATTTAAAAGGTAAGATTGAAGCAAAATTGGAAAAGGTTGGGCAAGATACAGAACACATTTTCGACGATGCTTTCTGGAATAACTTGGATTTCGTTACTAATGCTTTAGACAATGTTGATGCTAGAACTTATGTTGATCGTCGTTGTATTTTCTATAAAAAGCCATTATTAGAATCGGGAACGTTAGGCACTAAAGGTAACACTCAGGTGGTTATTCCTAAATTGACGGAGTCTTATTCAAGCTCTCAAGATCCTCCAGAAAAGTCAATCCCATTATGTACATTAAGGTCTTTTCCAAATAAAATCGATCACACCATTGCTTGGGCCAAGTCTTTATTCCAGGGTTACTTTGCTGATTCTCCTGAAAGCGTTAATTTATATTTGACTCAATCGAATTATGTTGAACAAACTTTGAAACAAAATCCTGATATTAAGGGTACGTTGGAAAATATCTCTACTTACTTAAATAAGCGTCCTTACACTTTTAATGATTGTATTAAGTGGGCAAGATTAGAATTCGAGAATAAGTTCAATCACGAGATCCAGCAATTGTTATATAACTTCCCTAAGGATGCTAAAACTTCGAATGGTGCACCATTTTGGTCTGGTCCTAAAAGAGCACCTGAACCTTTACACTTCGATATCAATAACCCTGATCATTTCAATTTTGTTGTCGGGGGCGCGAATCTTTTGGCGTTCATTTATGGATTAAAAGAGCCTAAGGCCACTATTGAAGATTATAAAAAGGCATTGGACGAAATCAAAATTCCTCCATTCACACCAAAATCAGGCGTTTCAATCGCTGCAAATGATGCAGAAGCTGAGGAACAGAGTAACAAATTATCTGGCAGTATCGATGATGATGAAATTAGAAGCATCGCTGCTTCATTGCCTGAGCCTTCAACTTTGGCTGGTTATAGATTAAATCCAATTGAGTTTGAAAAGGATGATGACACTAATCATCACATTGAATTTATTTCAGCGGCATCTAATTGCAGAGCTTTGAACTATTGCATTGAAACTGCCGATGCTTCTAAAACTAAATTCATTGCTGGTAAGATTATTCCAGCTATCGCAACTACAACTGCATTAGTTACTGGTTTAGTTTGTCTTGAATTATACAAAGTCGTTGGTGGTAAAACAGATATCGAAGACTATAAAAATGGTTTTATCAACTTGGCATTACCTTTTATTGGATTTTCAGAACCAATTAAATCACCACAAGGTAAATACAACGATAAAACCTTCGACGAGATCTGGGATAGATTCGATATTGAGGGTAATCTCACTTTACAACAATTATTGGACCACTTTGAGAAACATGAAGGTTTGGAAATTTCAATGTTATCTTATGGTGTTTCATTGTTATATGCGTCATTTTTCCCTCCTAAAAAGGTAAAGGATAGATTAGCTATGAAATTGACCGACTTAATCAAAGAAGTCAGCAAGAAGGATATCCCAAGCCATGTTAAGAATTTAATCTTTGAGGTTTGTTGTGATGATAAAGAAGGTGAAGATGTGGAGGTTCCTTATATTTGTGTTAAATTATAATTATAATAAACTGTTCTATTGCTGTTAATTTTCTTGAAAATCTCTATGAATGTTTAAATACATATCGCTAATAAAATAAAAAATATCATCGTTCAAATAGTAGTTATAAAGCCTATATGTATATCTTCTATCACACATCTTTATATGCTTGATTTTTCTTTGTTATTTGACTTGAGTTATTCCCCAGCTTTACCCTGCTTTATGGTAATTACTCTGTTGGCGATTTTCATCATTTCTATATTATGAGTTATTATGATGATAGTTATGTTTTGCTTTACCAAGTTATTTCTCACTAATTCAATTATCAAATTAGTATTATTAGGATCTAAACTGGAGGTACATTCATCCATTATCAATATCTTTGGTTTTCTAATCAACGCTCTTGCAATAGATAGCCTTTGTAATTGGCCACCAGATATTGAAGAATGTTGTCCTTCACCTAACCTTGTGTGTATTCCTTCTGGT